AAGTAATAATAAAATAAAAATAATAATGATAATGATAATAAAATAACAATAACAATAACAGCAATTCTAACAATAACATTAACAATAATAATAATGACAAAGAGATTAATAAAAACAATAGAAATAGCAGCAACATCAGCAGCAGTAATAATAATAACAATCATTACAATCACAATAAAAAGAATATTAATAATACCAAAGATGACAACAATTTTTTTTCTTTGGTTGTAGCTTTATCTCATTCTTATATTGGGTTGCTATGATCTGGTTCTGGTAGATATGCCATTCCTGACTTATAAAACTATAAGGATAAAAAATATAATAATAATAATAATAATAATAATAATAATAATAATAACGATAAATAACAATGCAATGACATAACAATAACAAGAATATACAATGAAGTAACAATAATCAAATAACAAAAGAAATGAAAACAATGGCAATAGAAGAAACAATGATTATGATGCAAAAAATTCCTTTATTAAAGTAGAGGCATGGCAATTCCCCCAAAACTGCAAATAACTATCATCACTATCTTCTAAGTTATCACCAAACAGTAAACTCATCACTAATACCTTATATACGCCATTTTTACTTACAAAAAAGTTAAGAGCATAGAGCAGTAAGTATACAACACAGAACAAACCTCATTGAAATAATCTTGACTGCATAGAGGCGCCCATCCAGCTTATGTCTGACCTTGGTGACAAGTCCAAAGCCCCCCTTGCCCAGAACAGAAAGTTCTTCAAACTCTCGGCTGTATCTGTCGTCCAGGAGCCGGTGCGTTTGGCTTGTCAGAGCAAGCTGGGTCAGGGGACTGATGAGAGGGTGAGAGGAGGGTTGACTGTGAGTGTCAAAGCGGATACTTATGATATTATCAACATTTCACATAAGCACATATCACAAAATGAATAAGTTCCTGAACTTCTTTTCCACTTACCTTGGAAGGGGAAAGTGGGTGCCCTGTGAGATAATTTGGCTCTGAGCTTGTTCAAAGAGGACCTCAAATTTCCCAAGAAGACTAGATCGGAAATCCTGCAGCAGCGGGACAGAGTGCAGCGGCAGGTAGAGTGTCGAATTGCACTGCTCAATTACTTTGCTAATAGCTATCCCAAATGGAGAAGATCAGTAAAGGGAAAGATTAACTGTTATTATTCCAAATATATCATCTTATTTACCATATATTACACAAAAATGGTTAGTCAATTGGAACAAAAATCTAGTGGTACAGTCCCCTCAATTTTCAAGATTATCACTCAACATTGCCAATGTGCTAACTATCAGTTATTTCATATAACTGAAAAAAGTCCCCTGCTCATTGGCATTTATTTCAGATATCAGAGCTGAAAGTGGCAGTACACTTTCTGGCAATAGAGTGGTAAACTTGGAAGTGGATTGGATTGTACATATAAATAGGGAATCACCCATTTACATGTACATTATATTGTCATTAAAAAATAGATAAAAAATAATAATACACACCAATAGTATATCTTGATATACTATTTGTGTACAAAAAACAGAAAATAAGTACATGATTAATGCTTACTACAAATAAAACAATTAAATGAAAACTAACCTCTAAAGAGAAATTCCCTCCGTGTAGGATTGGCCTCACGTTCCCGGCACAGCAGGTGCACCAGAATCTCAATTACTGTGCTATTGTTAACTATGTTCTCTTGGTCACTGGTAGCAGGTACCTCAACTGCTCTATCCACACCCAAACCTAAATGGTGAGTCAAGGATATTACATAACTATCAAACTGAAAACTGACATCAAAAACACCTACAAATTTAACTTGATATCTAGTATCACATTTTAACTCTATAACACCTCAACTCCATTATTAGAACTTTAGACCACAACTGAAAAACAGGCATTATGGATACAAAAAAGAAAACTCAAAATGGAGTCAATCTACCATGACAGTAGAAAAATTTATTATAACAGACCCCAGTTATTTCTCATGGGCAAAATTTAGCATGTATTAATTTCCATTTCTCTCCTGATAACATTAAAAAAGGATTTGTCATTGTCATCCCAACTGTCTGCAACTACTACTCCTGAATTAACATAGTTAAAGCAATTCAATTCCAAAGCCAAAGCTTCTTCAAATTGCAATATGAAATAAAATAAATGGAAAAAAGCACTGAAATTTTTCTTTCTTTTCGGCAGTGAAAGATGGTAAATCAATCTCATCAACTGCATAGCAAGGGGTACAGCAAATTATATGAATCAATTTAGTAAAGTCAACCAAAGTGATGACATGAATGAGACTTATATGTCGTCCAAACTCTAAGAGCTTCTCGCTGAAAGAAGTCAAGGTTGACTAATAAAATTGCAATATTCAAACAATGTTATAGCAGCTGGCTGCAGCATTCTGCTGCATATTTTGACGATGATTTTGAAAATGTAAAATAAGTTAATTCAGGAGAAATCATCTTTGGTAGAGGAGGTACAGCTTGAAACCAGAATAAATATTAAAGAAACTGAGAATATCACCTGAAGGTTGGGATGACAGGAATGATACACCAGAAGTGTATTACAGAAAATTGAATATTATGAAAAAAAATAAAATAAAATAAATAAAAAAAAAAAATAAAATTAAATAAAAAATAAATAAATACATAGAATATTACATATTATTATTACTGCATAGAGGTGTAGACAATCTAGAAAAAGATGAAATGAAGTCTGCAAGGAAAACTGTTACCATCTTGATTCTGCATCAGAGGATAAATATAGACATTAAAAAATGTCAAAAAAGCAAAAACTGCTTGTGCAAAGGGGAGAAAAAATGGAGTCTTGACACCATACATGTTTGTGTGGGCTGGGCCTATAAGCCAGACACCCGTAAGAGTCACCACTCAAGGCTAATGCCCAGATTTTGTGTGAAGCACCTCAAGCCAATGGGTTGACTGTGATCAGACCGAGACTTCAATGGCACCATGTACTAGTCCCTGGAGTGATGGCAATTCTCTGCATGGCATGACATGAATGCCACCTCCAAGGTAATGTATCAAACAGTATTTCATAATAGTACATTTAACCATTGTAAGAAAATACCAGAAATGTTTTTTAAATTGGGAAAAAATAATAGTATGGGAAAATACTGGACCCTTCCCATTTTGACCTGTTCCTATTGCAATCACATGCTAAATACAAAAATTATATAGATTAATACAGCCTACTGTGGATAAGAAAAACAGTATTAAGTACTTCTGAGTGAAATTTATTGGGGCACCTCAATTAATCTTGAAATAAAGAAGCAAGATTCCTGGGTAGTCACTCAATTATAGTAAACCATCTTTAACCATACACCCAACTTTACCTTCATCATTACCATGGCCCTTGGCTTCTTTCCTCGTCCTTATGGCTTCTTTTTCTGTTTTATCAGAGCCTTCGAAATCCACTTCTTCCAAGGGATGAAGTTCAACAGTCATGTCACCAACATCTGAATCAGTGTAGTTGAATGCTTGTCTCACCGCCTCACGCCCGTCATTCTGCCTCCTTAGGACACAAGTTGAGAGTGACTGTTGGTTTCTTAGGAGTTTGGTATGATACTTTTCATCAATAACTGTTTTAACTTTTTGTAAAAGTAAAAGGGCCTCTTCTTGTGTGTCAAATATACTGCTTTCCAACCTTTCTTTGCAGTTTGCCAACATTGCTAAAATGTCAGCAATATCCTCAGTTGAAAGTTCTTTGGATGGGGGAGCTTCAGTCTTTGCATCATCTTTGCTGACATCCTTGTCTTCCCTCATCACCTCTATGGTTTGCTCCTTATCCTGGTCCATGAATGCTGGGATATCTGCCTCACATACTGCTGCTTCTACTGGGGTTTCTTGTATTGCTAACTCTGCTTTTTGCTGATGGAGAAGTGGCCATCCGTGCCTGATAGCAGCAGTAATAATCTTGTTCCATACACCACCGAGAAGGTCCATGGCCTGCTTGATCTTGAAGTTTTGGCAGAGCAACATCACCATTTGTGTGGCAGATGTATCTGACAACTCTTGAAAATTTTGCAGCCCCACTGCATCGGGTGGATCTGCTTCACCCAAGAGTGAACATTTATTGAAATTACTTTGGTCGATTGAAAATGACTAAAAACAGAAATCATAAGATAATTTACTTATGAGTGAATTAATAATAGTGGCAAATATGAATAACACACATTAACCCTTATAATCCAGACAACATGACCATCACATTGTGAAAAAATTTGGATTTAGGGAAACGTGACATGAACATGTCATCACAGAAAAAATTGGCTGAGGGCCTGGGAGAAAGGAATGACTTGCCACAACTGCACAAAGCTTTTCAAGTGTGATTAGACAGTGAGCATTTAGGAGGGGGCTCTTACATTATTCCCATCAATAAATGATTATGGAATGTACACCCAACAACAAAAGCGATGTCACCTCATTAGACCTGGGCTTGGAAAGATCTTCTTGCCCTGAAAGGTGGCCCACGTTCAAACAACCTGGACATAGTTAGGAAAGGGGGGGAGGGAGGAAGGGGGTGATTTAGATTAGCTAGGCAAAGCAAGGGGTGATTTAGATTAGCTAGGCAAAGCAAGGAGTGAGTGTTCGGCTATGTTTCAGTCCCATCTTATCGAGGCTAGTGTCTGCACCCCCCCCTTCTTTCTCTTTCCTCTTTCTCTTCTTTCTTCCCCTTTCTTTCTTTCTTTCTCTCTCTCTCTCTCATACACACACATACACACTGTGAGTAATATTTGTGGGTGTGAATGATGTATCGTCTCAAATAGCACCTCTTAAGCTAACAAACATTAATAAATGGCTTTAGCCACAAAACTTCAAAGGTGATGGGGTGTAAAGGTATAGGTATCGATTCCCTTGTTTTTCTTTTATTTTGTTTGGGTGTCTCCTATGAACCACAACCTCCAGTCATATTCGTGAATCGCAAAGCATGGTTTGGTTGGGGTCAACTTGAGTGTGATGGGCCACTTGGCTCCGCCCCTCACAATCATATATTTATAAAAAGTATTAATGTCTATCATATCAGCATTAAGTTTGAGATACAAATTGATTTAAAGTGCATCTTCAGTCAACCTAATTTATTATATCATTTCCAAAATTGTTGGTGAAAATGAATGATGTAAAATGAAAATCTGTGAATGTGTGCAGCGGTGCATTAATATAATGATGGTGGGGTATATAGGTTGTAGGTGTTGCGAAACTTATACTATTAACATATCTTTTAGTGTCAAATTATTAATTGACAGTCTTTAGGCCTGGGCAGATTGGGCACTTCCCAGCAAACCCCTTTCCACGCTTGCTGACTCACCCCATGAAGGGCCGAGTCAAGCTTCACTTTACCCAAGGCTAAGGGGGATATTCCCTTAGCCTTGACTATATGCCTTTATATGTCGTTTCAGCAGCCGGTGTCCAACACCTTGTCTGTTTTTCCCCTCCAAACAATTCAAGAAACCCATTGCTTTCAATATCCGTCTTTTACATATTCATTTCGTTATTTTTGGTAATGAAATAATTGTAAACATTTGGAAATATAACGGTGTATGAACAAATGTCATATGTTCTTTTCCAAATAACATATCAAAAGTTTACCATTATCTAAATAGCAGATCCAGGTGATATAAGACGGAGAAATGAAAGAGAGAGTAGCTGCTTAGGATAATGCAGAGCCATATAATAATATACCTCCTTCATATATGTGTGAAGGATATTTCCGTCTGACAAATATTAATATGAATACAGTTCCAACAATGTTTAATTTTTTTTTATAGAAAATATGATAAGGAATTTAAATAAAACCATGTGATTAGATTCCTTGATAATCATTTTTCAAATAATATACGATAATTTATTTCTTAAGGCAGGTTTCCAATATATCAATCAAATTAACAGCTAAACAGGAATAAAAGCGATCCCTCTCTCTCTCTGTTCATGTACATTTCAGTCATTATTACACTTCTTCACCTGATTTCCATACTTTCCCACCTCCTCACATTCAAACTATCCTAATATGCCCTAGTTGTTTGAAGGTGGGCCACCTTTCAGGGCAAGAAGGGCATGATCTCACCGAGCCCAAGCCTGGTGAGGCGTCAAAGCTTTTGTTGCTGGCTGTACCATCTGTGAGCCCTGACTAAAAGAGTGACAGCTCCAGGGAGGATGCCATTTCCATGCTCAGGATCCTATTCCTGCCCACTCTAATCAGTAGTGCATGTTGTATTACAGAAAATTGAATAGTATAAGAAAAAGAAAAAAACACATGATTAACAAAATTTTATTCACTGTTATCATTTTGACACTGAGTTATGGACTATTCAGAGATGATATGGAGTTTGTACAAGGAAAATAGTCTAATACAATCTAGATACATCCTACCAAATGACAAATATAGATATTGGAAAATGTCCAAAAAAGCTAAAAATATTTATGCAGAAAAAAAAGAAAAAAAAAGCGGCAAAGGGAAGGAATGTAGTCTTGTCACCACCCACAAGTGTTTCTGTGCACCTGGCCTACAAGGCATACACCCTTCAGAGTGTCCCCTCATGGAAGTCTAAAGCTGGATTTTAGGCCACGTGCAGGGTGATGCTAAACTTGGAACAGCTATCAACAATATAGGATCATAGTAGGATTTTCTGCTGCATACCCTAATGAACGTGAACACTGACACTGGGACACCACCATTCAGCTAAAAAGGTATGGGTTTCGATATCGTGTGCATCCAGTCTACAAGCTGCACAACCGTCAGAATGGCCTCTCACAAAAGTCTGATGTTCATATTTGGGCCACATGCGGGCAGTGAATCATCTGGATCCAATAGATAAAATAACATCAAAATTTCACACCAAAAGTCTCCAAAAAAGTAAATAATGAAACTTAAAATAAACCCACAAAAACTAAGATTAAAAAAAAAACACTTACCAGCTATGGGTGCAAACGAGGATATTGGCTGAATCAGCTGTATGGCCTCACTGCCCCTTAACAGCCCATCCCTCTGCCTACCCTCGCCCAGATGAAGAGGTCGGTCAGGAGGTCGGTTCAGAGGCCGGTCCATTGGTGGATTCCAACGGTCCAAGAAGGACTTCCCAGCCATGCAATCCCTGGTCGACTTTCTTCTCTCTTCGGACATGACTTGTCGCCTTCGTCCCCAAACCATTGTGCATTACGAGATCTTGACGGGAAATGAGAAAGCAAATGTAGGATATCATTTTTTTTTTTTTTTTTTTTTTTAATATAGTTTTAATAATATAAAACCATGAGTTAGAAGCATGAGCAAAGACACTAGGTACAATTGAGGCATTCAGAATAACAGAAAAAATTGACAGGTTCTAAAATAATAAGAAGAATGATGATATTAATGTTAAAGATCATAAAATTAATAACAGTAATAATGAATTAATGAATAAACAAATGCTTTCTTGTAATATTATACTGTATCCATAATTCATGGAGTCATAACTTTTTTTTTTTTTTTTTTTTTTTTTTAACTAAAGCTCAAACTCTCATAATTGTAGCCCTTTATTATTCTCTTACATTACCTTTAATTTCTCATAGAATGTAAATACAGAAGCATGCACTTTTGGGTGGTTGCTTTTCATATGATTTATGAAATTCATCAGAACTGATACGTCTCAAAATATATTAAATATATTTAAACTAACTGTTTTATTTTGTATGACTACTGACTGAGCCTGTGGCCAACTAATTATAAAATGAACACACAGAAAAGAGAGATTTCAAGTTAATACTCTACAATATCTGAAAATAAACTGCTTGTAGCTTGTTGTATGTAGTCCTTGCCATGTCCATACTGACGGGGATGAGAAAGGCAGTGACTAAAGAAAGAGTCTACTTCTTTTTATCTATTTTCCTGTTTTACGCAGGCTAGAGGTTTGATTCATTTTTATTAAAATGGAGCAGCTTGATGTGAGTATCACTTCAATAATGTGTGATAAAATCCTAGTAAAAAAATAAATAAAATATAAATAAATAAATAAATAAATAAATAATTTAATCTAAAATAATAATAATAATAATAATAATAATAATAATAATAATAATAATAATAATAATAATAATAATAATAATAATAATAATAATAATAATAATATAATAATAATAATAATAATAATAATAAATAATAATAATAATAAATAACAATAATATGGTTATTAGGTTGATTGGATGGAATGGGGTGTATCTGTTGTTGGGGAAGCTATAGTAACATTGCTTTAAGAAAAAACTGGTAAAAGAGCTGTTATGAAATGATCAACAGATAATACAGGTAAAGATGACTGTTGGAGAAGTAGCAGGAGAAGAGTCTGCAGGATGAGATATGGGGACTGGAGAAGGAGGTGAAGTATTAGGAAGTGTCAGGAGGGGAGGAATCCGGAGGAAGACACTGTTGCGACAGAAGGGGTTCATGTGAGTATCCAGGTGGGGGAGGTAAGGATAAAGGATCTCATGAGGAGGAGAAGAGGGGATAGATGTTCGAGGAGTAGAGGAAAAGAAGAGTGTAGGAGAGTGTGTGGAAGGCAACATTTCGGTTGTCTGGTGTGACACATAAAGTGAGGAGGAAGGGTAGGTATCAGAAGTGGTAGAGATTGAAGTATCTGGATTTAGAATGGAAAAGGGATTTAACTGGGGCTTAGGGAGAGTAGAGGTAGGATGGTTCAGGTTTGAGGGAAGAGATACTGTGGGATATACAGAAATAGCTTGTGGAGAGGGGGGAGGGGGTGCAAAGCAAAGGACTGTTTTTGAATAGGTAGAGAGAGAAAAACCTTGTCGTTGTGCTTCCTGTCTAGCCTCACGTAGTGCGAGGCCTAGTTTGAATCTGAGAATTGCTACCTCACATTCGAGCTTATAGGTAGGGCAGCTCCTATAAAATACGCTATGGGAGTCACCACACTTGGCACATGTACCTGACTGAGCAGGGCTATTTGAACAGTCATGACCAGGTTGGGCACATAGAGCGACAGAGTTTGACTGGGTGGCTAAAACGCCAACATTTCTGAAGAGAACTCAAAAGGTTTGCAGTGTGGGAGGAAGACAATATAGATGAAGAGTAGTAGCCATTAAAGAAGACTGTGCAGTAGGAGATGGATAAGAGAATGTTGGGAGAGAGGAAGGAGTGCTTTCTGGAGGTTGAGTAATAACCTGGGTGGGTGGTTCAGAAAGGAAAGAGTTGTCAGTAAACATCAAGCAGGGGGTATTAGTATCAGCGGTTGGAGCCATTGTCAAAGGAGGGGCAGAGGTTGGAAAACCATCATGGGACAGAAGGGGACGAAAAAGATAAAGAAGAGGAAAGGAGAAGAAAAGACCAAGCAAAATTGGTTGAGGCGAGGGCTGAAGTCCAAGGTAGGGGCAATCCTTACACTGGGCTCCAGTCTCCGTCTCCTAAACCCCCCCACAACAACGAGCAAAGTATTTGGAGGGTATTGACTATGGTCTTTCTAATAAACTGCCCTGGTGAGTAATCTATCCGAAAAAACAAGTTTACTTAGATTTTTCCACAAAATGTGACTCAAAAGGAAAGAAGGGGTGAATTCAAAGCTTTTTTGGTTACATAACCTTTTGATCCCTATTAACTTTGAAAATGAACAAACATATAATTCAGATTTCAAAAGAAAGAGCACATCAAACCAAACATTCTGAGTTAAAGAGCTAAATTCTAGCTCAAACACTGTGTGATTGGTAAAGTTAGTCTTCCTCATAATTTGAAGTATTTGCAATTTGGGCAAAAAAGTGGAAAAGGGTTATTTTGCCTGTACGCACCAACTGGAATGGGCCAACAATACTGTTCTGAATATGCCAAGGGATGCCCTTCTCAGAAATACCCATCAAAGGTTTTGTCATTTTCTGCAAATATACAGGTACTGGCTCTAGATCTTTGAGTGAGTGAGTGAGTGAAAGAGAAAAAGATAAAATATATATATATATATATATATATATATATATATATATATATATATATATATATATATATATATATATATATATATATGTA